TTTAAAATTATTTTTATTTGTGATTAACATAATAATAGTCCTCTCTCCTGAGTTGTAATGTTGTGCACTGTGCATGTGAATTGCTAAAATTAATGACATTTGCAGTCTCAAGGACCTATCAGAAGTCATGAGATGTTTACTTTTTAATAACCAAGAACACTGTTTTGTCAGATTATTTCACCTGAAAGGTAAAAAAACCCAAAAGCCTACAAATTTCTTCAAGTTACTTTTGAACCACTCCCAAAGTGGTTTTTTAATCATAGTTTTCAATACAAAGGGTAGCCGGATGGAAATATCCTTGGAAATGGAATGCTTTGTAAATTTGGGAGGTCATGATTCTGTTTGTCACTAACCAGGACAGCAGGTTATTTAACCTTACTGGCATTACCAGCTTGGCAGTGAGTTTCAATCAATACTCATCTGTTTTGTTTGCTGAGTGACCAGTACACCGTGTCTGTGTGGCTGCAGATGCCCATTTAGAACTTTTTGGCACAAATAATTGTGGCTTCCTCAGTTGTTTGTCAGGACAGAGCATTTTGACCATGTTTGGTAACTATCTTGCCAACAGTTTAACAGTAAATCTCCAGTCATTTTTAAGTTGGAAAAAACAATAAAAAGCAATGTATTTTTCAGTAACTTAACTAATTGAGGTCCATATTCCCTTAAGTGGTTCTGAATGTCTCAGTGGTTGGATACAGAAGTTGGCAGCTCTTTGATCTGATTTTCTTGGACTGACAGCCCTTACTTCTGTTGGAGTGGTTGGCAGTTGCAGTATTGACTTATTTACTTCAAGTGGAGTAAACAAGTAGAGAGATAAACAGGATGAGCATGAGGATTAGTTTAGACCCTGAAGAACACACACAGAATCCTTAAAGGTTGAAAAGTCATGATATTCAACCAATTAACAGCATTATAAATTAAACACTTTACTGTTAAATCTACAGCAAGTCTTTTCATTGAAAGCACTGAATAGCAGGCATTTAATTTAACTGAAACTATCTTTCTGCAAGATCTGGGAACAGATGTCTGGAGTGTTTAAAGTGGTTTTATCTTTTTGTGAAAAAACTGGCAGTGACCTTTTTATTACGTATTTGCTTTACTCACACTTGAAAACAGTAGGATCAAAATCAATCTATATCAGTGACTGCACACAAATTTGATACACAGACAGTCTTTACCCAGAAGAGGTTGTTGTGTAAATATACAAGACAAACTGAAATTGAGAAAGAGGAAGAATCGGTATTTCTGTTTTAGAAAAGAAACACAAGTGGGAAAATAATCAGCACTTTACTTAGACTATTAGGGCTCAGTAGTGTCAGTAAAACTTGGTAGGTGAGTTGCTTGTGATGAGTGTTAAGAGTTAATTGTCTTGTTCAGTAGACTTGTCAGAGTCACCCTGGACACCTGGACAGCCTGGAGTGTAACTGGGATCTGTTATGTGCTGCAGTGCTTCTCTGAACGGTGAAATCACCCAGCTGTCCAACATGCCAGATGTCCATAAGGCAGTGCACATCATGGAGTTGTTCAGGGCCCCAGTTCCATGAAAAGCCAGTAAGGAATTGCTGTGAGGAAGAGGGTAGCTGATCAGCTTCAGTAGGAAATGTCCAGCTTCTGTGACTTTACAATAAAATGCTCACAGAAAGGTGAAGAGGAAGTTTCAGAAAGGGAAAAGAAACCCCTGACCGTGTGATTTCTTTCCCCAGAAGTGTGTTCAAATTTGGGGTTTAAATTGGAGGAAATTAAAGGAAGAATGTAATGATGGATGTAGTTTTGTACTTAAGTGCTTTTTTGAGAAATTTTTGCATTTGATGTTTTTAATCAGCTTTACAAGGAACAGTAAACTGAACGAAATTAAAAGATACATGGAACAATTTTTTAATTTGATTAACCAAGATAACTGTGTGATTAACTATTGTTCCTTTTTCTCATACTCACCATCGATCTCCCTTAGGTACTTTCTGTGTTGCATAGTACACCCTCTACTATAGCAAAACATATTGGCTGGTTCAAAAGTGCCTTAATATGTGGGGCACATTATTTTGAACTGGTTGCTAATGCAATAGGAATACTAATATTTTCTGTGATCTGTCATTTGAGCTTCTCATTTATTGCTCCACATATAAGTTATAAGATGACGTGAATGCTAAAAAAGTATTCAGAGCTTTTTCGGCACTAAATAAGTAAAATATCGACACTAAATCACAAATATTTGCAAACGTTTCAAGGAATTGATATGTCAAAAAAACTGAAGTTCAGCTTACAAGATCCAGTGCTGATAAACAGCTGGTTCTTCAGAGCTGGTACATGCATAATGAACATTTGCAATCTGCATTGCAGGCTTTTGAGGAGGTGATTGGACCCTGACAGTGATAGTCACATACTGCAATTTGCATTTCAATATATGAATAATTTATTTTAAATATCTGCAAAAAATCTTCTCTCCTAAAAATTTGAACAGTGCCTTTTCTGGTGGTGGACAACAGCAGCATTTTAACTAGGTTAGTCTCACTAGCTCTGAGACCTGTTAATTTCTGTGGAGTTCCATGATGGTGGATTTGTCTTACTACCTTCTTGAGTAGCCATGTGTTGCTATATCCAAATGACAAGCTACTTAAGTAAATTCTTCTGGTCAATTAAAAACATGGACAAACTCATTTTTAAATTGTTTATGTTCAGCAAATGAAGTAATATGCTAACATCTACGCAGTAAAATGACACGGTTTTCTTAGTAGAAGACAAAATCTTGAACCAATACCTTTGAAAATTACAGACACTCTGAAAAGATTTAAACTGAAAATTGTGCTGCTTCTTAGCACATCTTGGACATCTCCCTGAAAGTCTTGCAAGAGCATTGAGCAGAGTGCTCATATGAGGAATAACAACGTGAAAAAAACCTGCAGACCTGCAAACTGCAGACTTATTCATTTTCCACTGAACCACCTGGTGCCCTCCAATGAATCTCTCACTGATACACTGTATTTCCACTTGGGAAGGAGCAATGAATGGCACTATGATCAGTTTATATCTGTTATTCAAAACAGTGTAATTTTTACTACTAATTCACTTTGCCATAGTTGTAATTTTAAATATATGTTTAAATGTCTGTAAAAGCTTTAAAGAGAACTTGGAGTCCTGTTTATTTTGCAATCCCATCAAAGGCAATATGGTTCCTAATGACTCTGAGACTCATTTATTTCCTAGGACTGATAGTGTCTCACTATTCCAGACTGCTTAAAGGAAGAAAGGAGATCTTTAAAAATGGCAGAAAGGGGTCCTGCTCTCCAGTCTGATATGCTGCCGGAGCTTCCATTTTGTAGATTTGAGTTCTATGTTTATTTTTTTATCTCAATGTGATGGTTTTAACCCAGCCAGCAGCTAAGCACGACGCTTCCCCACACGGTGAAGAAACTTGTGTGTTGAGATAAACAGTTTAATAAACAAAGAGGGAGAAAAACCCCCACAAATGGATGATGTGAAGCCCATCACTAACCACCTTCCACAAGTAGACTAGCAGGCCTCACTAGAGTCCAAGCAATGTCTTCCTCAAAATCCCTTTGATGCTGATCATGATGTTGTAGAGCATGGAATATCCCTTTTTTCAGTCTGGGACAGCTGCCTAGGTTGTGTCCCTGCTCAAATTCTTGCTCACCTCCAGGGGCAAGGAAAAGAGAAAGCCCGAACACTGCAAGTACTGCTCAGCAGTACAGCAATCCCAGCCAGACCCAGTGCATTCAGCTTCAAATAATGTTCAAATTCATACATATTCAAATAACATGCACAGCCAGTCATCAGCAATGGAGTTGTAGGTGATGGAATGAAGCACGTGTTCTGCGAGTCAAGGCATTTTTGGGACTTGCCCCACATCTGTTCTTCCTGGCATTCTCGTCAAGTGGATAATGTAGTATCGATATTTTCACTATTAAGCTGGTTGTTTTCTAGTAGAAAACAAAGAGAAAGAAAACTTCTGTGTCCCTTGTTAGTAATTTCATTCTATTGAACAAGAGTGTTTAAGGGAAAAAAGTCATGAGCTGTAGCTCATTGTATGAAATCACCGATGCCAGCAGTTTCCAAACCGTTGCTCTGGTTGTTGTTTATTTAAATATGTATGTTATTCATCTGCATGTGGAAGGAAGCATTGTAGGGCAAGATAGCAACCTAAGTAATTACAATTATTATCTCCAGTGCCTTTTTGTATTTTGTTGCTATAATTAAATCACTAGAGCATATTACTGGGAATATATTGCTAATAGACCAGTAGTGTATGCATCCTTTATTATTTAAAGGAGATATATATATATACACACGTAGTTTTTGGAAATCATACTGGACACGCTCATGGGAGAGCACACCACTCTCACCTCTGTCAGAGTTTAACAGAGATGGAACATAGTCATGAAGCTGTAAGAGGGAAGTGTACAGAGAGACAAGAGTCTGTATGCAGGTACAGTACAAACAGATGAAGGTGTGGTAGAATTAGTAAAGTTTCACATTTGCTGTAATTAAGTAGTACATCTACTCTGCAAAGGTCACAGTTTGTGTTTCTTAAGTGCCTGAGTTGTGGCATTCACAGGTGATAAAACCTTTCAGATAGGTAATTTAGTCAAATGGATCTTGGCATTCTTTGATATTAGCTCTTTTCTTGTTTGGGGGTTGCTTCAAGAAGTGGTTTCTCTTGAATCTGTGCTTAGTTCGTTGTTGCTTGAGTCAGGATTTGTGTCTAAGATTTGCTGCAAAGCTCCTTTGGCTCTCTGCAAGATACTGCAGTTTAATTCCATGAACACTGAGTTAGGCCCATTTAGTGTCTGAGACAAAAATGTAAGTACAGACAGTGCTGACTCATACCTTTGACCTGCTGGAACAACTCTCACTGCCTTGAAACTAGCTCTTACCACTATATCTATGTTTCTGTGGCTGCAAATGTGAATGATACCTGTCTTGTAAAGCATTCTGAGATCTACTGTTGTATTATTGTTTTTTATTATTATCTCTGAATTGTCCCCAGTAAATTTTCGTTGTCTTCCACAGAGTTTGGTCCCCACAGAGTGCCAGTGGGAATGTTCTGGAGGATCTTCCTTCTGTTCACACAGTCCCGACATCAGTCAGTCCAACACTCTTGGTGCAATCAAATATCCGTTGCCTTTCCTCAGGAATGGACTCAGGGATCTTGGATCAGAAATGGTCAAAGGTATTGTTGATGCATTCAGTTGCTGTTACAGAGCAGTAAGTTCACTGAATTATTATCTGTGTTGTATTCATATAGCAATGATTAAAGTCTTACACTTGGGTGAGACATCAAATCTGACATAGGTTAATTTTAAAAGTTTCTGTTGCAAAGATCCACAGATGTTCATTTGTTTACCTGTTCCAAATAATAGGAAGCTTTTATTATTCTAGCCTGGGAATAAAAAAAAAGGGTTGGGAATAAAATAATAGATCTTCAAATATAGTTACTGAATGTGTTTTTAATTTGTACTATTTAGGCTCAGGTTATCCTCCAAAAAGGGTTTAAGCTGAATTAACCTTCTCTAACAACAGTAACTCAAGCAATTTGAATAATTACATAGATAATTTTCACAATCATCTATTACAAGATGAAAAGGTTCACCCCTCTATGTATGATTTCTGTATCAGCCATCTGATGCAGAAATGAGCCTCTCTGAGTCACACAGTATCAATCTGAGTTTGCTGCCCTTGAAGGAAATGGGAGTTTTTCAATCAGAGCAGACACATCTACAAAACTGAGAAAAAAACCACAAACTCTGTGTGTGTTGAAACTGCTGAGTAGAAAAGGTGAGTGTTCAGTGGAAGGTACTGCTGAGCCAAAGGTTCTTCTCTTCGTTGCTACTACTGACCTCTTGTATGGGACCTTCTCCCTGTAAGTGAATTACATCGATTAGCCAGTTTGAAAATCTGAATGGCAGCCTCAAACCCCAATTCTGTCTCTGTTTAGATACTCCTGCCAGGCAGAAGAGCAGAAATCTATGTTTGTTCTTACTTCCCTTTCTAATTTTGTCTCCTAAAATGCCTTTTGTATGGTGTTAATTAGGACATTACAGACTATCCTGCAAACTGTAACGTGCAGAGAGAATAGAAGTTACTAATTTCAAAATAAAATCCTTTCTCTCTTTCTTTTAAAAAAGCCAGCATAGTGGAAAGAGGTAGATTTCATGGCTGACTGTAGTGGATTGAAATTATGATGAGTATTGAATGAGCTGCCAAACTCTGTACATCCCTGAAGATTTGTCTTCAGTAGCCAGTTGGCTGGCAAACTAACCTTGATATGTTATTATCCTGAAAGGTATATGACTTGTTGCTTCACTAAGCTATGATATTGTAAAAGGTTCAGGGATATCGTTGGAATAGGGTCGAATGCTCTATTTAAATGCATGTAAAATGTACATGGATTTGTTTTGGAATTCAAATCCATAGTTTCTGACTAACCTGTTTGTAAAGGGTTGGTCACAGAGAATTTTGAGAAAAATGAAACTGTAGACTTGTTTTGCACTTGCTCTGAAGATCTTCTCTTTTATTTTTGCCTCCTTACATTGGCAGTGTTTTTGTGTTCTATTTGGATGCTTGCAGAGGCAGCACAGCCCTCTCTGTATTTTGTTTTGCAAGCTGTTCTTACTGAAGACTTCTTTTTTTCATTTTCTAAATCATCTAAGTCATTAGGCTTATCTTTATGTGTCAATGGATGTGCATAGTGATGATGAGGCAGAGTAATCCAGTACTTGTACTTGACATTTGTCGTGTCAGGCACTTCTCAGCATTTCACATGTAAATACAATGAGATTTTGCAAAAGCAGTCTCCATTTGCCTGAGTTTGTACTCTTTTAAAGCAATTAAATGTAAAATTCTCCCCACACCATATAGGCCTCTATATTGTATATATTTCTTCATAAATTTTTTATATTTTAAAATTATATCCAAGAAACTTGGCATGTTTTTGTATACAAAAGAGTATACCTGTAAAAGATTATGAAGGAATAAAATATGTTTCTTTGCCATACTCTATAATTTTTTTTTTTGTTAAATGGTAAGCTTTTTTTTAAAAAAAAAACCTATTTCCTGAATACTTTTTTGGTTTCTTTTTGCCATACTTATCCCACTGAAATCTCATGCTGTAAAAGATACCCTTTAATTATCTTGCTGTGTGGAAGTTGTTTCTTGGAAATGGATGGTGCAATATGTGGTAATATTTAATTTCTTGTGATCTGAGTTGAGATCTTGACTTGGGTAAAAACTAATGGGAAGTTTGTAGAGAAGGGAGAACCATCTCTTTGAAGAGGCTACTAAAGTGATAATAGATAGGTGATAATTTAGCAAAATAGGTGTATTCACTTTTTCTGATTGAAGTAAGCAGAGACTTGCTCACAGCTGCTTTTCCACTTTTCTATTTGTTTATTTACCATAAATTCAAACTTTACTTCTACAGCAAAACATATTTGCCAGCAAGAAAACATAGTGATGTTGTTCAAGGTTGTTCAACCTGTTCATTTACAGGTTGTTCATGGGTTACACGGCTACATTTGCCACCCGTTGAAGACTTTCTGTAAGGAAAAGGCAACTGCTCTGTTCCTTCTCTCAGATTATTCCACTTGTAAAGGAGGATAACAACACACCATTTGTTGATGTGGCAAACTTTGAATAAAAAGGGAAAGTCATTTACAGTAAATTTCTACACTTTTTCCTAAGGCAGATCTTCCACCACTTGGAAGAAGATATGATAGAATGGTGGATGCATCTATTTAAACAGCAATCTGTGTCCAGAGAGAAGAACTCTACCTGTGAGTTACTAAAATAACTAAAGAGGAAAAGGACAGTGTGCTTGAAGTTAACTGACTCAGAATCAGAATGTTCTCTGTAAAAACCGGGATTTTAACAAACCAAACCAAACCAAACCAAATCTTTTTTTCCCTACTGGTAAATTTGAATACTACATTTTGTAAAAGTAGTCTGAAATGTTTCATTTCAAATCCACTAAATAACAGATGAAACAGAATTTCCACGTTGGTGAATTTCCCTGTTAGGCTTATTATCAATCAGGAAATGGCCAGATTCTCAGAACTTCTACTTATGAAGAATTATTATGTAAGAATTAATCTAAGACCACATCAGAATTGAGAAGAGACAAGCAATTGACTGAAAACATCCAGATAATTCATGAAGTAGAGAACATTCTCAGGTACCTGATGTCTCAGCATCATCCCTAAGTCAAAAATGAGCGCCGAAATCTGGGGTTTCCTAGGATTCTGTGACTCTAGGATTCCGTGGCCATAGGAGTCGAGGATTCCGTGGCTTTATGACCCTAGGACTGGAGGACTGTATCCAAGGCAATGAGAGGAGGTTGGTGTTCAAGGGAGCTGCTGCAGCGCGGGTGCACCCACCACTGAGAGGCACCTGCTGGGAAGTGACCTTCCACCGTCCCCTCAGGTTCGGTCAAGGTCTCTCCAACTTCTGTCTGCATGGAGTAGAGGAAGAGTTTGACTTAAACTCTCTCTTTTGAGATTGAAAACATATTGGAATAAGCCAGAGTGTGTAAGGGCCGTAGCAGCAGTTTCTGCACAGCACTTGGCAGCTCCTTTCCTGTGAGCAGAAGGGCCTGCTGTCCCCACATGGTCTGCTCAGAGCAGGTCTGAGGGAAGGAGGGAGGGCTGACACACCCCCTGGCCAACGCAGCCAAGGGAAGGGCTTTGGGAGAGCCAGGAGGCCTTGATGGAACCTTGAGGACCTTGATGGAACCCTTCAATGACCCAGCTGCCAGGCTGGGCTCAGCCCACGCCAAGCAGGATTTCTCCAGGCTTTGGCTCAAGACTGTTGCAAGTTTTGAACTGGTGAGAGCGGCTGGAAACCTGGGCGGTGCTTTCCTGCTCCCCAGCCCATTTGTGCTCAGCTGGACAACATTTCCCTTGTCTGCCTGCAACCAGCTAGTCGGGCCCCTCCTTTCCTCCTCCTGGTTGGGGGACTCTGCTTTGTTTCCCCTGTCATCTAACAAGCTGAGCTTCTCCTCAAACAGGGTTGTTCATCTTTTGCCCCTCTCTGTTTCACATCTTCCTCACCTGCATCCTCACTATCTGCCGATCGAGTCTCTTTGGGCAACTGGGTTTTGAACTTGCAGCAACAGGGGTGCACTTAGGAGCACTTAAGGGCTCCAGCATTTTTGTCAGGGCTAGAAAGAATGCCAAAGCTTGTCTTGTAGTGGGGAGCTTCTTTCCTTTCCCTTCACGAGGGAATATAATCTGCGTCTTGGGTCATTGCACCTTTCTTTGTCTTTCAAGGAAGGATATGCCATGGCTGCTGGAATCCTCCAGATGTATGTCATGCTAATGGCAGTTGTCGGTGTCAACGAGCCTTTTCTCTCTGGTAAGAATGGAGTTGTTGCCGAGAATGGGGAAGAAATCCTCCAGAGAATGAAGGAACGGGAGACGAGCCTTCGGCTGCACCAGTTGCGCATAGAGCAGGAAATTGCAGACCTGGAAGCTGAACAGAAGGCTCTAGAAATGCGTGAATTGGAACTGGAGAGAAAAATCCAGCAGCATATGTTCAGTGTCCTTTCCTTGGTCATCTTGACACTGATCAGCCTCTGGAGGCAGAATTAGCAGGAAGTAACATCAACACAGTGGAGAAGAAGAGACTGACATGGTGGTCCTGGGGAAAACATGGGAAAAAGTGGCCTTCCCTGACAAGGTCTTTTGTGCTATTCAGGGACATTTACAACCTCTGAGGGAGATTTAAACAGCTGCGGGGAGTGTGAGCAACCAGGAGTGTGGCAAACAGGGTGGGCAACAGGACATGGCACATCAGAAGTTTGTGGTGCTGTAGTTTGGGGGGCATTTCACACAGGCAGGGCAAGTGGGAATGGCTCTGAGTCACTGCAGCACAGCCAGTGGGCTCATTTGCTGGTCTTTACACTCACCGAGAGAGCTCAAATATGGTGTCTGCTCGGCACAGAGCCAAGTTGTCTAAGCTCACCAAAAACTATGGAGCAACCCAGACAGAGCTCCCAAAAAATCATACAAAACATGGAAAAGAACATGCACCTGTCCAGGCTTCAGGCTGTAGGGAATGTGTTACCCTCTCAAGGGATTGTAGCAGTGATGGCAGTTGCATCAGATGTTTCCAAGTGGGCGACCTGCTCAGCCTGGTTATGAGTTATGAGATGAAGTAGAAAGGCTGAGAAACATTAAAGAATCTGAGTGGGAGATAAACTGGTAGGACCATGCTCTGGCCTCCCTAAGACAGGAGCATTCACCAGAAATATTTAAGATCAAGGGGATCCTCTATCCATCCCCCGGCAAGGAACAAGTACCAGTTTTGAAGAAAGAAGCAAATGGAGGGCAGTCCATAATTGGACACGCAAGTGAAATCCTTCTTCACCCACAGCACTCCCCCAGGTACCTCTGCAGAATAGGTAGGAGGCTTTGTATGTGGAAGACTGTGAGCTTTGTACTTTATTTCCTATGAGAAAGAGAAAAGCAAGATTATTCTATGTTTTGGCCCATCTTATCTATGCAGATGTGAAGGGAGGCCATGCCTCCATTTTGAAGGTGTTGAACATAAGAAAGCCAGTCTGTAATACCAACTGAAGGTTTAAACACAAATAAACCAGGTTCAGTAATTACAACCAATGAGAAAAGTCTACAGCATATCTGCATTTCAAACCTCCTTTCAAAACAAAGACTATACTATCCCTTTCTCCATCAGGCTTTGCTCATGATGACAGTGTGTTTTGTGATAAAACATTTCAGGCAAAATCATTTTCATAAAACAGTCCAGCATTTCTCATCTGAAAATGGGAATTCTGAGCCACCTCACTCTAAAACATATTTCTCTGGAATAACTGCAGTGGAATAGCCATAGGGTTCAGGGTGATAACCATGGATACCTGAGGATTGTAACAGAAGCAATAAATGTGAGCCATCCATTTAAAATGTGATAAGGAAATGTAGTATGTTCCATTAGTCCTTAAAGAGAAAGTCAGTTCCACCTCTGGCTTCAGTGGGCTGTGTGGCACTCATGGTTCTTTAGAGGAGGCTTAGAATATATTTGGCCAAGGGAAAGAATTGAGGATCAAGAATTTGAAGGACTGAATAAGAACAGTCCACATCAGCATTGAGAAGAGACAAGCAATTGACTGAAACACTCAAGACAATTCATGAAGTGGAGAACAGTCTCAGGAAGCTGATGTCATCTCAAAGTCAAAAATCAGCACGAGACTCTGTCGTTTCCTAGGATTCCATGACTCTAGGATTCCATGGCTGTAGGACTCGGATTCCATGGCTTTATGACCCTAGGAGTCGAGGACTGTATCCAAGGCAACAAGAGGAGGTTGGTGTTCGAGGGAGCTGCCGCAGTGCAGGTGCATCCACCGCTGAGAGGCACCTGCTGGGAGGTGACATTCCACCGTCCCCTCAGGTTCAGCCAAGGTCTCTCCAACATCTGTCTGCATGGAGTAGAGGAAGTATTTGACTTAAACTCTCTCTTTTGAGATTGAAAACATATTGGAATAAGCCAGAGTGTGTAAGGGCCGTAGCAGCAGTTCCCGCACAGCATTTTTTAGCTCCTTTCCTGTGAGCAGAAGGGCCTGCTGTCCCTAAGCAGGCCTGAGCCACGCTGGGGCCAGGCAGTGCAGGTCCTGAGGGCCAACATAAAAACCCTCACATCCAAGAGTGCAGATCCAGCCCTCTGGGCTTTGGGATGTCTTGCTCCCGTGCTGGGCACCCTGTGCTGCTGCTGCTGGCAGTGTGATGGCACTGGCCAAGCAGAGGCACCAGCAGCCCTGAAGGCTGTGAGGCACTGGGAGGTCAGGGCAGAGCCTATGTGCCATAATGAAATAAGACAGACTAATCCAATGTAATCAACTTTTCTGATTTGTGACAGGAACAACTTTGCAGACACCGAAGTCAGTGCAGAAGGATGGGGGAGGTGCTCCATGCTCAGGGCAGAGATTCTCCTGCAGCCCACAGTGCAGACCATGGTGAGGCAGCTGTCCCCCTGCAGGTCATACAGGAGACCCAAGTTGAGTTTGTTTTGCCTGTGATGATAATTGGTGAGGAATCCCTGTCCTTATCTCAACTCATGAGGCTTTAATTGTATTTTCTCTCCACTGTCCAGTTGCAGAAGGGTGGGATAGAGTATCTTTGATGGGTGCCTTGCATCCAGCCAGGGCCAACCTACCGCAGAAAACTACTTGACTCTAAAGATCCATTTCATGTTCAAGGCTGTGCATAACTTAAGAAGTGAATTAACATATAGATTAAGGTTTAGATCAATAAGGATTCATCATTCTCTGGCATTTAAGGGTTTTGAGGCAGAATTGCTACTGAACATAAAATGATATCTTTTCTTGAAACATCTTAGGTGAGATGACCTAGTGGACTTACAGTCCAGTGTCTCAGTATTTCACACCACTAGTTGTTTAGTTATGTTTTGGTTCTTGTGCTGCTTAAGGAGCCAACAACCATTACATTGTCTGAAATACTTTTAACTTGCATTCTAAGTGCTGGTATTGTATTAAGAGAATACAGCTGGGCTTTTCAGGGCATTACTTGTAGGAAAGGAAAACCAGCTATAACTGTAGCTCTGCAGCCCCAAATGCAGCTCCCTAAACATGCAATCCACAGTGCCTATTCTTATTTACCCTGGTGAAAAATGTAAATATGAATTCCTTTCTACTGTTTTCTCTGTCAGTGTTCCTACACAGAAGGCAAACTCGGCAGCTGTATGACCCAGATACCAAGTTCTGGAATATTTTCCACTTGTAGAATCTGCATGTTGGTTGCTCATTTAAACAATAACATTTTCTGTTACCTAAATTTTAATTGAGCTGTTCTGTTCAGGTTTATAATTATGATCATCTAGTGTTTTTCTTTAGCAGTAGGTGCAGCCATAAATTATTATACTAAGTGTAGAATTTCATAATGGCTCAAAGGACTTCTCAGTAAACAGGTTGTATTACAGACAGATGCTATGCAAGAAGTTCTGCGGGATGCTCCTTTAGTTTCAGTCAAAATGCATAAAGGAATATGATGTTGCCATGCTACCTAATTTAAATGGCACCTTGAACAGTTTCTGGCATCACTAATGAAGGTTGTACTGAGCAATGCACTGGAACTGAGTCGAGTCATCAGATGATCTGCAGTACTCATAAACCAGATCTGATGGCACTCTTGAATTCCTGAATTTTAAACTATGTGTGGATAGTGAACTGAGTCTTGTTTCTTGTTTAAATCTATACCTTTAAATCTATATGGAGCACATTTCTTGCTGTCTACTTTCGTGCCAGGAAGGGTTTCCCCCTCAGTACATATATGAACAAGTACTGGGAAGGTCAGTGTTTTCACAAATTATTTGCTGTGGCAAGCAAAGTGATTTAAAGCTGTGTAATGTTTTTACTGGCAGGTTTCTTGCATTATTAAGGACAAAAGAAAAGGGAGGAAAAAGATTGCCTGAATAAGTATAGATTGATGCCTAGCAGATACATGCTGCTGGCAGTGCTGATGTTAAAAGACAGTAAGCATGTTACATTTCATGTAGATAAAGCAGGTTATTACATAGTGAAATATTTATGCATTTAGTTAATATACTTAATTGAAGAGATAGTGTTTAATTTTAGATCAAGTGCCCATTTTTTTCCTAAATATTTTCATATGTTACCTAATTGTTGCTGGTGGGGAGTGGGAGATCTAGCTGTTCATAAACTCAGGGCAATTCTCATTCAGCCCAAATTACTATCTGTGTTTAAACAAACAAAACATGGGACCATGTCATTAAGGTCATAACTGTCTTGTACCTCTACAGAATTACTGAGATGCTTTGTGTTTCCTTTGATGTAAAAGATCCCTTATTTGTTAGTGATTCTGTTGATGTAACAGTTCTTGTGGTTCAGGTGAATCCCCTGAGATGACACAGGAAAGTGCAGTTTATGAGAAGCAGACTAAATCTTGCTGAGAAGTAGGTCAGGTATGAGCAAGGTGGAATTGGTGCAAAGTAAAAGGAAATTGGAGAACAATGTCTATCTCAAAATAAAGGAGGGCTTCATATCAGAGGCCTACTTGACATGCTTAGACCTAGAGGTTAATTTAGATTTAAATATAGTAATAAAAGAAAATGTTGGTTGTGGATACATTGTGGTCAATGCTTTGTCTTTTTTTCAGTACTTTTTTAGTTAAAATACTTCTTTATTCTTAGAAAAAATTGAGAGATGTTCTAGGTCTGGTCTGTAATTTAAAACAGGCAGGGAAAACAAACATTATTCATCTGGTCTTCATTAATAAATGACAACAGTAGTATCTGATCTGTAATAAAGAGTGAAATAAATCAGTGCATCGAGTCTGTAGCTCTAGAACTGAGCATTCAAAAATTAAAGTGTAGGTATCTGTGAGAACTGTTAGCTTGGTAATTGATAGTGGCGGACATAGAAATGTTGATAGAATCCCTTCTGCCAAGAAACCTTGACATTTTCTGAACTTAAAACAGGTGAGAGTAAGGATGAATGTGTGTGACTCAAATCCACCTTTGACAGAAAATCTCTAAGCTTGATAATGAACTGAAAACTGTTTTAAGAATACCGAGAAAGGACAAAATTGTTGCACTAGTTCTGAGTGGAGAAAATGCCAAAGCTAACCACGTTAAAAAATATTGTGTGGGCTGCTACATATCAGGACTCACTGGCTCTTAAACTTGTAAATTCGTTACCTTTGTCCCTGCAATTTGGATCCAGACATTTTAGAAAGCAGCTCTGTGCAGTGACAGAAATACTCAAAGTGGACTTAGAGCAGTTCTGTTCTGCTCTTTCTGTAACTAGTGAGAGAGATTAATAGACAAATTAGAGGTGAAAAACACCTGCTAGGTCATACATTCAGCTCTCTCAAGACAAAAAATACAAGAAAATTTATTACGGATGTAAAACTGTTTTGACTTTGTAGCAGAACTTGTCAGCACAGCAGCTGTAAACAGTTAACATTGTTTCTGGGGCTCCCATTTGCAACAGGTGACTGCAATTTAAAACACATATAGTAGGAGGAGAGCATGGTAGAGCATCATATGTTACTAGATTTATGTATGTCAACACACAGCTAGCTCTTGAAGAATACCAGTCGTCAGTACTATTTGGAAATACAGTTCTTTCCTTAATAAATTGTAAGCAGAGAGCAATAAATCGATTTGTCTGTCTGAAAATGGTACTAAATTGGTCCTTGTGAGACCCCACCTGGAGTACTGTGTCTAGGGCAGTCAACACAAGCAAGATGCAAACGTGGAGTGTGTCCAGAGGAGGGTTATGAAGATGTTCAGAGGGTTGGAGCACCTCTCCTATGGAGACTGTTTGAGAGAGCTGAAGTTATTCAGCCTAGAGAAGAGAAGGTACTAGGGAGACCTTCTAGCACCTTCTAGTACCTAAAGGGGCTACAAGAGAGCTGGGGAGGGATTTTTTACAAAGGCATGTGGTGATAGCACAAGAGGGAATGACTGAAAGAGGACAGGTTTAGACTACATGTTAGGAGGAAATTCTGGGGGTGGTGAGCCACTGGAACACCTTGCCCAGAGGAATAGTGGGTGCCCTATCCCTGGAAGTGTTCAAGGGCACATTGGAAGGGACTTTGAGCAACCTGGTCAAGGAAGATGTCTCTGCCCATGGCAGAGGGGATGAAAAGGTCCCTTTTGACCCTAAGCATTCTATGATTCTATGATAATCTGTATTTTTGGCTGTTTAGCATTAAATGGCATATTAATTTCTTTTAATTAAGTGGAGAGACTGCTCAAATGTTTTTCTAATGTTTGCAATGTAATTTCAAAGTGGTAACACAGTTCGTTTAAATGTTCAGTGAGGCAAAACCAACCCTGAACCATCCTTTCTCTAGAGATAGTTGTCTTCTGTAGCTTGGCATCTTCTGTAGGACCAAAGACTCAATTAAATATGCTTTATCACCAGTGTGCCCTTCTCTGGCAAAAACAAAATTTGAAGGAAATACCAAAAGATCTCAGTTTCTAGGGTGGATTGTACTAAAGGGTTTTGATTTGTTTTTTTCAGAATAAAGCTGGGTTTTCACTCTACCTTTCTAATCCCTCCTTCTGTTTCATTCTACCTCTCTTCCCGTCACCAGGAAGGAAAGGAAATAATACAACAGTGTTACCAAGCAAACTATTTTCAACCATCTTAGTACCACCCTGTGCTACACTCTAATAGTCACATATCATTATAAACTGGCTGCACTGATGAAAGGGTAATTTTACTTTGCTAAGTCTGTCATTTATCATGCTCCTTCAAGTGTTAATTTTTATAGCACTGAGAAATGTGCTAGATACTTTACAGATATGTATAGAATTAAATGGTAACATAGGTAGCTGAAGCATTTAGGTATAAACAATTATGCTATATATGCACAAAATTCACAAGAACAGTTTCTATGATTAGGAGAAAATGAGAAAAAATAAAATGTTTTCTTTTGTAGTGTTTAATTTGGGGCAATTTGTAAAGTTCAGATTATTTTTTCTGGGGAAAGTAGCTGAAACTGATGATTTCGTTTTGCTAAAAACCTGGGATATTTCATATTTTCTGTTTATTACTCATTGCAGTAACAAATTGACTTGAATTTAACAAAAGATAATGAGTTTATGCTATTAAATACAGAAGTGTAAAAATGCAGTAAAATAAAAGCTCTTGTTTTTCAGAGGCAACATAATAGACTAGATAGAATGTTGGGGGATGAGTCTTTTATACCCTTTAAAAATGTAAGGTTTGGGTCAAGTCTCTGAGAATCATGGACTAATGTAAGGATGAGAAGTGCAGCATGATCTTTATAGCAGGATTCATGATTTTCTTGCTTATGCATCATATATTACTCATGGAGATGTGGTGCTTACTGATAGGCATCTCTAAGCCTGAAAGTCAAGATGGGACATCAGAAAAAGATTCTTGCATTAATTGTGCTGAGACCTCTACTTGAAAGACAGAAAAAGAAGGCCCAGGCTCCTTTT